GGTGGAGGGGTCAATGTGGAAACATTTGCAGAAAAACTGCCTGTCCCAGCTCATTTTACCAGCATTTTGCATTTCCCTGAGTTACTTTCTGAAGACGGTTTAATTCCCTATGTGATGCCTGTATTTTGCTTGCATTTCTTCTCTTCAGCCCCCCTCAATCATAATCTGGTGCCTGCCTTCTCAACAGTAATAATAGCTGCAATATATTTAATAGCTACCCACTGCCAGCCTCTCTCAGCCTTCTCCATGGATTCCCCAAGGTACCAGATGCATAATGCATTTCCCAGCTAGAAATCAGACCTCGCCAGGATCTGCCCTCTCGGAAAAAACTCCTTCCTGGCAGGTTCCCCAGCACTGTGGGAATCAGCAGAGGCACACAGAGGTGTTTCCTTTCTCTGTTTGGGTGTGAAGAGCAAGGCTTGGAGCTACATCAGCTGCTGCAGACAAACAAGGCTGCCAAAAGCGTGTGTCCTCCCTGCAGAGTCCCTGACAGGACACGTCCTCCTGTCCCCAGCCATCCCAGCCACTGGGGAGCGGAGCTGCAGGCATGGAGCTGGGTGATGGGACGGACATTTTGTACCTAATTGCAGAAAATCTGTGAAATATTCCCAGAACTAACCCGACTAACCCAGGCTGACCTGTCAAAGGCCCTGGTCTGACCAGCTTTGCACTCTATCATAAAAATACTGCTTGATACGACAGCCATGGGGGTTACATTTACCTGCAATTTTCATTTCTTCAGGAAGAAGCAACTAATTTCATTATTTATTTGGCTTTCTATACAAGCAAAGAATGATTTAAAGCAATTTGCTGGTATGAATTCCTGCACTTCCTGGTGTCCTTCAGGACAGGTTTATTCTCAGAGGAGAAACTCATCAAATGACTCGATGAGGGTTTTATAAAAAAAAAAGGAAAAGGCCATGGTAGAGCTGGGAAATGAACCCAGGAATGCTGACTTTGAACTACATGAAACCAGTTGCACTACAGTAGCATACTTGGTAGTTTTGCTTGGTTTTCAGCCACAGCTTTAAAGTTTGGCCAACAAAGCTAAAAAGTCAGGAAGGGGGTAATTTTTATTCTTCATATGAGAAGACTGAGAAATCTAAAAGCCTGATGCTCACAATAACTTATTATTGCTCTTTATTTGATGGAGTGACTCATATAGCACATAGCTTCAGGAGCAGTTTTGGGGAAAGCTATAGCTGAAAACACAGCCAGCTGTAAAAAGCTGCCATTTCCTACACAGCATCTACTTCAAAAGAATAAAATAGATGTCTTCTCTTTTCTGTCCAAAAAGTCACTGCAGAAGCAGCTTTCTTTTGTTATCTCCCAATAAATGTGTCTCTGTAATAGTGGAATTTACTGCTGGGGGTGTGTGTTTCTCACCGCTGCTTCCCCTTACAAAGGAGCTAATCTATCTTGTGCTGGGAGAAGGCAAATGATGTCATGTTTCCTGTGTTTCAGCCTACTTTCCAGCTGCTGCAGAAAGGCAGGGCTGGAGGTAAACATTTCACTCTGCAAGGGCAGAGCTGCTGCCTCTGGCTGGGCCGGGAGCTCCAGGAGCAGAATTGATGGCCGAGGCCTTTCTGGCCAGCCTGGCTTGGCTTTCCCCTCTGCAGAGCCTCCATGGGCAGCCCAGGCACACGGGATGGGCAGGAGGCAGCATTCCCATCCCTGTGCCCTGCTCTGGTGGGACTGGAGCTCGGCAAGTCAGGGCACTCTGCCTTGGCACAGCCCCGTGCCCGAAGTTTGCAGAGCACCGCCTGAACTAGTTCTCCTTCCAGCAAGAGAGCCCTTGACATTCATTAAGGCTAAATTCACTCTCACATTTTAATCAATGAGATGGAAAAACAACAAAACAGGAATGCATAAGCAAGTCTGACTTTCTTCTTTTTTTTTTTCCCCCCCTATCAGCAGCCTAACAAGCCCAGGATAACACCCGCCTGCGTGCCGGATTCGCCCAGGCAATTATCACCGATGCAGATTGAATAATTATGCATGCAAAGGCCCGTCTGGTACCTGCCACATGCAATGACTCAATCCATGTGCAGGTGCAGGTGCTGCTGCTGCCTCTCCTGCTCCTCCCTGCTGCCAGCCACCAGCTCTGCCCGTCACAGCCCTGCCCGTGTCCCCGAGCAGTGGCCCTGGGGACTCGGGGTGCCCTTGGCCCTCGACGCCTGCAAGGAGGCTCCTTGGCTTTCTGGGATGCTCTCTGTTGGGTGATGGCAGATTCTGCAGGTTTTCCACTCACCCTGCTCCAGAGGCAGTGCTGAAGGAGGGCTGCAGTCCAAAGGCTGCCTTTTCCCCACGGGCAGTAGACCTTCCTGCATGGATTTACCCTGACAGCATTATCCCTTCCCCAGGATTGCTGCCTGCAGCCCCACGGCTCTGCTGCCTGCAGTTTTCCACTCTGTAATTCTGTCCTTTGCCTTTAGAATATGACTTTCTTCATATATTATACCTTGAGTGCAATACAAGAAAATAAAAATGAGTAACAGCTTGTTTCCCAGCCCTGGATGGAGCAAAAATTTTGATGAATGGGCAGACTACTTGCATGAAAAAGAGCATGAATAATTTGTAATGAATAATATTCAAGTGTTACCTTTTTTTTCCACTCATAAATTGCTTGCAAATTTTACCTCCCCCCGAGCTGTTAGTCACCAGAGCAAATACAGAGCAGCTTGTTGGAAGCATTTGTTTTCTGCTGCTCTGAGCTGTGGTTAGATGTGCTGGTCACTCTGATGGATGGGGAAAGTCATCCTGGCATGTTTCTTCCAGTGACACTTCATGATTTCCAGAGCTTTGCATATATTTTTTGTCACAAGAGATGGCAGATGCTGAAAAAGCTGTTTGTTTGCTACTGTTTGTAATTTATAAATTACTGCTTCCACAGGTCTTAACCAATATTGGAACTTGACAGAGACCTGGATTAAGAATGAATTATGTTATGAAAAATGTATGGAGATACTTGTGCTGCTGGAGAGGCACAGTTCACCATTTTCCCCCATTTTTCTGGAGTTTTGCTGTTAAAAAACAACACCCCTATATTTGTGAAGAAGTCTTGTGGAGGTGGAGGGTGAGGAAGGGAGCAATGGGGCATGGGTGAGGTATTCCTCACCTCTGGCACTATTTCTCCTGGTTTTATTGATACATCAGGCTGCCTTTTCTCACCTGCTCCCTTGTGGAACACCTGGGAGCTCAATTTCATCCTTCCACCCCCTGCCTGTCCTCAGCTTTGGGGAGGGACACATGATGTCCTCCAGGGGTAAGCTCTGTCTTTTCCATGTTTTCACCTTTCCTCCCCCCAGGTCTGCAGTGGGGACAGGCTGTGGGGTGGGTCTGCAGTGGGGACAGGCTGTGGGGAGGTGGCAGAGGTGTCCCCACTCTGTCCCCCTGTCCCTGTGCATCCCTGCCCTGTGCTGGCAGCTCCACCCAGGGGAAGGACAAGGGGCAGCCCTGACCAGTGAGTGGTTATTTCCATGGGAGCTGCATCTCACCTGACATTTTTCACTTTGAAATTCCAGTGGTTCTGAAGAAAACCTGTGTGCACCTGTGTAACCCTGCCCTGCCCTGCCCTGGCTTCTGTGGCTGAGCTGAGGCCAGGGAGGGTAAGGAATGTGCCTGGGGTGGCAGTGTCCTGACCAAGCTGCCCTGCTCCTTGTTCTAGGCATCATGTGGACACTGCTAAGCTATTTTGGGATCTCTCCCCCCTCTCCCATTTTCTAGTCCTTTTCAACTGACCTCTTCTAATCAGCTGAGATACTTTCCTGTTTTCTTTTTTTCTTGAACTCAAAGCAGTATGAAGGAATGACCTCTCTTCCATGCACATGATTGCATTTTAAACTTTAATAGCTTCCATACCCTTTTCTAGGAGGTGCTTTCTAGCTGAAGCTCTGTTCATTGCACTCACATTCAGGGAGCAGCCAGAAGATGATGGCAAAGTACAGCTTCTGTATCAGATCTCCTCCTGCATGATGGATGCTTCAAATTTAAGCTACACTTTCTTCCAAGCTGAAGATATGTGAGGTTGAGGTTCATCTGGTAGAGTATTTATTCACATTAGGCAGCTGTAAAGAGATCTGGTTTGGCTATGAAAAAAATTGGAGTGTAATGGAGTTAATGCTAATTAAGAGATATCTTAATAATGCACAGTGATTTCTTAATAGATGCCAAGAGAATGGGCTTAAGGGGAGATTGGGGAACACACCCACAGACCTGCTTTTGCTCTGTCACAATCCCTCCTCTGAGGTGCAGAGGAATGTTTGATTTCTGGGTGTGTGTGTCTGGCAGTGGAAACCCAAGCAGCCAAGATTACAGGACTTCTGCTTATCCTAAAGTGGATATGGGTTTTTTTGGATATTCCAAGTTTAATGACTGATTTCCTCTTAGCACCTGGTTGCTGATCATGGCCTCTCCCTAAGTACAGGGAGATGGTTTGGATACACCAGGGATGGCCTGGGAAAAGTGGATTGCTGACACAGACCCCAGAATGGAGAAGTCAGAGCCCAAATTGCTTCCTGGTTGTGAGGAATGTGATTAGCTCCTGGGTGGATAGCTCTGTTACAAACTTTGATGTGACAGTAGCTGCTCAAAGTGGGGAAAAAGGATGTGTGAGAAGTTTGCAAAAATCAGAATAAGGGCTTTTAGCTTATAGATGTCTTTTTCTCTCTTGGTGGACTTGTTTTGGCTACATCTAGGATGGGGATGAGCTGGAATCCAACTTGCAGTGGATAAAACACTGGAGAGATGAGCTGGTCCCTACAAACCCCTGCAGACCACCCCTAAGAAGTAGCTGGCTTTGCTTCCAGCCCAGCTGAGCTCAGCAGCACCCCAGCCCTCGCCAGCAGCCCAGTGCTGCTTCTCCTTTTCCAGCTGTACCCTGATTACATCAAGTGGGTTTGCTTTTGATGTAAATCCAGCAGGGAGGGCGTGTTGGGGTGGGAAGTGAGGATATGAGCTGGAACCCCACCTTCAGTGTGAGAGCCTGGCGCAGGGTCAGCGGCAGCAAGCGATTCTCTGTGACCTCTGCTTCCTCTGCCAGGAGAGCTTGCATTGTGCAGCCATGAACACATAATTCACTGGCACCCACCGGGGAAATGCCCTGCTGGCACTGCACAGACATCCTCAGCCCAAGGAAATGAGGTGCTGATATGAGATTTAAAGACACACAGCCCTACAGGAGAGATGTGGGAGACGGATTCTGGGTGGAATGGAGCAATATGCCAGTTTGGCTGGATTCTTTGCAACTTTATTCTTTTTAATGCAAGCATTCAATACTGCTGGTGGTTTTCCATAATTTCAAACCACCTTTACTCCTTTTTTTCCTCTGCAAACCAGGAAGCAGAAGAGCTGAGTCACCCCTCCAGAAGACATTTCCCACCAGAGATGTTCTGCCATGTGATCCTGGTATTGATCCTGGTATCTCTTGTCACTGGAGGAGCTCCTGTGTCACTCCCAGGCCTGGGTGAGGGTGACATTCCTCCAGTGGCATTGCTACAGCAAAGGCAAACTCACCACTCAGTGTATGCTGCAGAACAAGTAAATCCTCTCTGTTTGGAAGCATCCCTGTCTGCACTGAGACCTTGCCTTTGGAAGGTGATAATGTGAAAAACATCCTGTGACGTTTTTGCATTTGTTCTCTGGGAGCCATCCATCATTTCTAGCACCGTGACTTCTGGGTGACTCCTCTGTGCTTCTCCCTGCCACCGTGTGCCAGCTTTGTGCCAATAATCTTGGATGACAGTTATGGAGGTCTAAATTCATCCCTCATTTTTGTTATATATTGCCTGTGATTTAAAGCCACTTAAATATATATTGCCTGTGATATAAAGTCACTTAATTGTCTTGTTTCTCTTCTGTAACATAATACTGCGTTTTTCCTCCCTGTCATCTGCCTGCTCTCTGTGGATCCAGACAGAGCTCTCTTGGGTGCAGGTGTCTCAGCAGACTCTTTGGAACAAATAAACTACTTCAGGTGATTAACTTCTGGACTTGGAACTGAAGATATTTCAGTTTCTCTCAGTTCACTGCTAACCAGACTGAGATCTTCATGAGATTTTCTACAATGTTTAAATCCTAACTACTTGAGTTCACTGATTTTGTGAGAATCTTGCCTCTCTGGATTCACTGGGGGCTTTTTTTGGTCTTGTCTTTTAAAAGAGCATCACTAGCACCAGTGCATAAAAAAGCTCCTGAGAGAGATGTCCCCAGATGGCTGGAATCTGCTGTTTCTTCAAATACAAAGAAATTTGGGCTGATATCATGACTTTCCCCAGGCTCCACTCATCAGTCTTGTGCATGGGGATGGACCTGTGCAGAACCAGCATTGGAGGCAGGAGAGAAGCTGCTTTTTCTGTTCTAGCTTGGAGCAGAAAGTCCCTTGGAGCTGACACTCTCTACATAAAATCTGAGTCTCAGCAGTTTTCTTTGGACAGCCAGCTGCTGTAGAGTTTGTAACTTAATAAATATTTCTCCGTTGTTACCTGCTGCTACAACGCATATATTGGGTATTAAGAAATTCCATCTGGGAAAAGTGATATATACATATTTAATGGAAGTATTTTAGCGCCCAGAAAAGTCAAACCACTCTGTTCAGGCATCCCTTTGTGTGCTCCAAAACTGCCACAAGAGTTAAAGCAAGTTATGTATGTGTGATCTCCTGTATTAAAGAAGCTACATTCATATCTTCCATTCTCAGCCTCCACCTCCTCCTATTCAATTTACAGTCTAGACTCTTTAAAAATGCCTTGTTATTGGTTGGCTTTTTTTTTCTCCTGTGGGGAAAGGGCACTTTTGAGACAATGCTCTCAACTGGAGATTACACAGAGTTGGTGCATGTTGGTGCATGATAACAGGAGAGGTTCCAGCAAGCCCCAATATGTAATAAACTGCAAAGGCATAAATTGCATATGATTAAACCTTTGATGGTGGGCTGTTAGGAATTCCCAGTGCAGCATGCCATGCTGCCTTTTACATCAGCCCTTACAAGAGCACTCCCAGACTCGTTGGCTCCAAGGGGTTAATTATACATTATGGATTAAAACAATGAAGGATGCTTGTTAATACTCAAATCATTGCATGGCAGCCCTGGGTGACTCCCTCACTGCTGCTGCCAATTTGCAACACTCACCTGGGGCAAGATAGGAAAAGCTTGTCACTTCTCACCCCCTTTTCTCTCTTTCCCTCCTCCTTGCTGGTTTTTTTTTTTTTTTTTTCCCTAGTCTGCAACATCAATTTGCTTGTCAAGGTAGATGACAGGTGAAAAGCCTACCTGATTATTGAAATTGGAAGGTCAAAAGCAATTGGATCCATCTGCTATGGATGGTAATTTACAGCCAATGCTGGCCCAGACATGCAGAGATGAGGGGCAGGGGGGGCCTGGTGGGTGTGCTAGAGCAGGGGATGATAAAGAGGGTCAGGGAGGGGGCCCTGCTCCCTTTCCTGGGGGTGAGGTGCCTCATCCCTTGGCTTTCAGTCTGGGGGAACTGGGTGGTGTCCTCAGAGGCACCAAGGAGCTGCTGGTTGCTGTCCCTCCATTTTTTCCTTCTGACTCCAGAAGCTTGAGTGCCTTTTGCCTGCCAGAAAGCAGCACTGATATCAGAGAGGTGAGCTGAGATAATGTGTCTGTCTAAATGTCAGATGCTGAGTGGATATGCTGTGCCATGAGGAACTCTTCTAGGACTTCTGAGTTCTTTCTTGTTGCAGAAGACTTGAACAAGCTAAGTTAACATCTATAAACCCAGGACGAAGTTATTCTTTCAGCAGTTGCAGGCTTTGTATTTTTGTTCTTCTAAATAATAGCTGGAATAAAATTAAACTCTATAAACTCTATTCTCAGCCTAAAACCCACCCCACTGTACCATCAAATATGTGAATTTGTACTCATCCTGATAAGCTTTCCTGCCTTCAGCTTGTCTGAGTTAGTGGGGCTCTCTAAACACTCACTCCAGCAGATTTTGTGCTGGGCAGATCTGGGATCCTCCATGTCAAACTGGAGTTAAGCAGTTGAGTGATGTAGAAAACCTTGGTAACAAAGGTTGCATCCAGGGCTTTTCCTTTTTCTCTCCCTTAGAATGGTGTGAGATTTGTCTGGAAATCTTCTGCCCTGGTCCTGGGGAGCCCCTCTGCTGTGAGGCTGCAGCCTGTGCTGATGTCTGCTGTGTCTGAGCAAGAGTCCCTTTCCTTATGCAGTTTTTACAGAGTGGCTCTGTATTGGTGTCTGTGTGGCTCCAGTGAGAATGAATGGAGTGCCAGTGTGTGAGGATCCCAGGGAATAGCTGGGGAGCGAGAATTAATCTTCTGGAAGTCAAGCTAATTGAGCAGTGATGGTGTTTCTGTATCCACATCCCCACACAGCAACTAATCCCTGCCAAAACCCTGGCAGAGCCTGTCCTAGTCTTTTTACAGACTGAAGGAATGTTTGATGGCTTAAGGAAGAGGAAAAAATAAACAAAAAACCAAAAACTAACTGTGGGGCAGCATATAGTAAATAAGACTTTGACCTTATCTGAAGTACTTCGGTGTGCTGAATCTAGCCAAGGACTCTTGAATAAAACAAACCTGAAATTTCTAGGCCAAGCAGGTTTTGAGCTATGGCTCCACAATAAATTGTTAGAGGAATATTTCAAAGGCTGAATTGCACCTCATTTTTCAAAGTCCTGTATCTCGCAAACACCTTGTCTGATCTGCCACAAACTTTGTCAATAAACTAAACCCTGACTACTGATTGTATATGCAAAGTTGTGAGCACAAAAACTGCATGAATCTTCACTCTTACCTTAATCAGCTTCCTTACAGGATACATCTCCTTCCCCCCCCCTATATATTGGCAGAGACTTTGGGGTTAATTAAAAAAAACCATAAATCCCAAACTGGTTAGTGCTGAATGGAAATGCATAGAGCTTGCTGTTTTCAAGTTCTGATTATGGGAACTTGGATAAATAAGAAGTTTGAAGCTAAGTACTTTAAGTTTTCTTTATTTTGTGCATGAACCTCAGGAAAGTAAAAGTAGAGCAAAAGAAAAAGCAAGGGGATTTGAGACAGGAGAAATGAGTGAGTCTGGGACTTAGTGCTTAGTGTCATCCTCTATAACTGTTATGGATAATTATTAATCTCTGGGCCTTATGGCTCTCTGGCAAATGTGTTCTTGGAAGAAGGTCTTGATTAATCTGTGTTTCTGTTTCAGAGGTGTGGATAAACACTTTTTTGTTTGCTCTTCTCCATTTGTACACCTGCAAAGACAAGCCTTTTCCAGTATCTGCATTTGGATCCATGAGGGAGTTATTAATTACACTGGCACCACTATCCAGTAGCAATGGGACAATGACCCTGCACTCCAAGTAATTTGCTGCATGATATTATAAGGATTCAAATTATTTAACAGTTTAATAACAGACTAAGGAAACTTTGCATGTCTGTGCTTATGATTATTATTTCTTTTAGCACTGCTTACTTCTAGTCTTCCTTTGGCTGTGAAGGAAATAGAGGAATCATAGGGTTTATTTTTTTTTTATAGCTAGATACTGCCTGGAGCCTCTCAGTTTTTCAGGGATAAAAGTTTCAATTAAGTATCACAAATTTAACAATTTTTCAGATTTAGGTATTTAATCCACATTCTTCTGTGACACTTGTAATAAGTTTACAGAGAAATCATTGAGGAAATACCCACTTCACTGAAACATGAAGGAGGAATTTGGGATGTTCTCTTTAAAGATCTCAGCAATCTGTTAATATGTTTCAAGTCATCATTTCTAAAGAAACAAAAGTAACTGAGTTGCAGCAGTGTTTTCATGTCCAATTATTTCAGCACTTGTGTTGGGTCTGAAATTGAAATCCTATCCATCCTCATTATACAGATATAATCAATATCAGTAATTTAGAAGCTGGGGAATATCTTCATTAATATCCTCTGTTAAGTGAGCTTTAAAAGTCATTCCATTATTATCCAGCTATTATTTTGTCACAGTATGAGATTTAAAAGTAATTTTTCAGTGTGCTTGCTAACCCATACCAAGCTGATAAACACCTAAGAAAATAAATAAACAAGCACCACTTAAAATGCTTTTTTTTATCAGACATTTTTTTTTCCCAAGCTGCTGCCTAATAGCAGCACTTCCAAGAAGTGAATCACTCTGCATTTATTTAAAATACTATTGTGCCTTTTTATTTTTTTTTTTAATGTGTGATTGCTTTTGTCCCAGCTAAAGCTGCTGGGCTAACCTTGGCCCTGCTGATCTTTTTGGTGGTGCTCCAGGTGTGGAGGTGGGACACAAACAGCAGTGGCTGGAGATGCTGTGGAGCAGATCCAGGCTATAAAACCACATTGGTGGGGAGTTCAGGAGTGGGGCTGAAATAAATGTGTGGGTGCTCAGAGGGCAGGGCTCTCCTCTCTGCTGTTGAGGTCCAGCTGTTGCAGGGCTAGAAGTGAAAATCACGGGGGAGGATTGCTGGTGAGGGCTTTGAGCAGCACACTGGGGTTTGCTGCTGCCACCCAAAAACTGTTTCTGGTTCCCTTTGGGCTGCAGAGTGACCACATGTGGTAACAGAGGGGACCATGCTGGCACAGTGCATCTGGAAACTCGTGTGGGAAACTGTCCTGCGCTGCTGGTGAGATCCAAGGAAACCCCTGATGGAGTGAGTGAGTGTGTGGTTTTCAGGGAAAGCTCTGCAGGAGTGGGACTCCAGTGACGGCCCCATCCATCACAAGTCACAGCTCTTATCTCTGCAGTGCATAAGAGATATGGTTTATGAAAAAGCTCTAGGTGATTATTTGTTTTTCTTCTCCTCCGTATATGTGTCAGGAGTTGCTTGGAGCAAGCTTTGTCTGTTGGTGGCA